TAAAAAAAGTTACAAGCAAGTGAACTTAGCTAGTTTTTATAAGCAATAAATTCCAACAAATGGGCATTGACACTAAAAGGTTCTTCTTATGCTGAGTATTTCTACCTATAGATAGCTTGACAACCACTTTCATCTGATGACACAGAAAGGTAGATATGGAAAAAGGCAGATGAGGCATTGCAGTAATTTAAGGAGTTGTGTTGTTATAAATAGGGCTGTTTAAACAATTTTATGCTAGATGTTAATTTTAGAGAATTCTGGATCACAGCACATTTGATTGTGTATTGCAGACAAATCTTTAAAAAGGCACTTGCAAGAGAAATCTAAGCATTATATGGACCAGATGTGGGGAACCTGCAGGCCTCTGGATATAACCAAAGATGATAGATGATAGAAAATGTTTAGCAACATCTGGAAAAGTACTGATTTCTCATACCTCATTTAAAGCAGCAAATAAAATGACACATGAAAGCCAGAGTTAAAACCACTTAAATAAAACAAAACATTTTTCTCTTTCATCAGCTCTGGAGGTCACAAGTGGAGCCACTTTTCTTAAAGCTGCTTAAAATATAGTTCTTCTTTTGCTTTTAGTGTTTCTTAAAGCATTAACTCCATTTAAAAAAATATTTTATTAATTTTTTATAATTACAAATCTATAGTACTTAGTAAACAATGTGTTGTCTGGGTCTATATATTTAACTCCATTTTGTTGCACTGGGTTATTAGACTTGTGCTTGACTTTCATACAAGATTTTAGTAAGAGGAATTGTATTATTGTAACCAACAGCTTTGCTGCATATGATATGGTAATGGTGATAATCTGATTTGAGCTTTATAAAGAGAAGTGAAGTGTGCATTTTTAAATAATAAAAGCAGAAACAGCCTTCAGAACCAATCCATAATGCCTTGACTTCTTTTCTGTCATTTTCAAAAGAAAGATAGCTAATAGCTATCTTCAAAGTCTTGTTAGGCAAAGACTTTGATTTTATACAGTATAAGGCAGCTTTGAACTTCAATTTCTGAAAATACCTTTGCCCAGTCAGGGGCTCTCAATATCTATTTATGGTAAAGGAACCTAAGAAATGAACAAACTATTAGTGGGTTTAAAGAAACTTCACTGGTCGAACCCTTGAATTTTAAACCTCAGTATTGTTTTGCTTTCTCTTCGCCTTATTATGGCAATTTTTTGATATTGTACTGTTAGTTCCACTGAAATTTGAATTTTTCTCCCCAACATGAGAACTCTCCATATACAGGAATTTATTCTTATATAGTTGGATTGTTTCCATAAGCAATTCTTATGGATTTGGGTTGCAAAACGGACATGACTACTAGATGACAGCCAACAGATAGAGAAGACATGTAGCTGCCATCTACTGGTCATTTGGATTTTGGCAGCCCAGATCTAACGTAGTAAAACCAATTTCAATAATGCTGTGGTATTTTAACAACTAACAGATATAATATTAGGTTTTGTAGCTTTTGATTCATTTCAAGATACACACAGAAGTGAGGGCCAAAGTGAGGGCCAAAGAAAAGGATTTGTGGTTTTTAAAAAGACAATTATTTGAATATATGAGGGCCATCTGAATGAACATTATATAGGTGCTAGCTGTGAGCACAACAACTTCTAAATTTTCAGTTTCTGTAGGTTGACTCTAAAATTAGTTTCTCTCTTCTGCCTCTACCCATCATCTGTCTGTCTATCTATATCCCACCATTATTATTTTTACAAATAACTCAAGACAGTGAACATATCCAACACCTTCCTACTCCTATTTTTCCCACAACAACAACCCTCGGCTGAGAGTGAGTGACGGGCCCAAAGTATCTAGCTGGCTTTGGGCCAGTCATAAATCCTTCTCTTTAGCCCTCACTTCTGGGCATTCATATTATTTGAACCAATGAACACAGCTTCTTTCCCCAAATCCATTCCATGGGCTCCATATAATTTCATCCAATGTGCCTGTAAAATCATTCTTATGAGTTTTTTTAAAAAAAATTGTGCATCTCATATAAACAGCATCATTACATAGCACTTTTGATATCAGATTAGAAGAATGGAATCAAAATTATTCAAAGAAGTTTTTGGGGTGATCTTCAGCCAATCACTATCTCTCAATTTAACTGAAGTCACAGGACTATTGTCGAGGGAAATGAGATGTAGGAAGGAATATATGCTATCTTTGTTTCAGGTTGTACTTCTAATTAATAAATACACATATACACACACACAAACACTCCTACACACATATACATTGTTTCCTGAATTTTCTACAGTTTATGAATTAGGTACANAAAAGTACACTCCATTGAAATTTTGACTTTTTCAACATATTTCAGCATGCAAATATTTGATATTCATTTCAACAATCTTGACAAATAAAGGGGATATAACAAGGATCACGGTTATTTACATTTTGCAATCCACTGTTTAATTTAAATAAATATAGATACAAATTTCACATGTGGAAAAAGTAAGCACATCCCTATATTTATGACATCTCAAATAACTAAACTTAGGATCAGGTGCAAATGATTAGAACATGGTGACAGACAATCTGGGAGGAACTTGTGTAATTTAAACATCTGACATTTCACTGAGTTTGCTCTTGTTGAAGTGTATGATATCACCATGCTTAGATGAAAAGAGCTGTCTAAGACCTTCCGAAAGAAGATTATAGATGCCTAAGAATCTGGGAAGAGATTTAAAAGGTTGCCAAAAAAAACTAGACGTAAATAATTCCACTGTCCAGAAAACAATCTACAAATGGAGATTTTATACAGCAGCCAATTTGGCTGTCCCAGAAAGTTCAGCCCTAGAACATAATGCAAGATGTTGAAAGAAGTCTCTAAGCAATCCAACATTTCATCACATGACCTACAGTTTGCTTTCCCCACTATTGATGTCAAAGTGCACAATTCTATCATTAGTAAGCAGCTATACAAATTATATTTACACGGCAGATGTGCCAGGAGGAAGCCTTTATTATCCAAAAAAAGTATCAGGGCAAGACTAAAGTTTGGTGGTAGAAATGTTATGGTTTGGGATTGCCTTGCTGCATGAGACCTGGGCAGCTCCTCATAGAATTCACTATGGATTCTTCATTGTACCAAATGGCTCTTGAGGATAATGTGAATCCATCGGTCAGAAAATTGATGCTCAGCTGAAAGTAGATCTTGCAACATGACAATGACAATTCACCAAGGAATGACTGAAAAAGGGAAATGGAGGTTTGTGGAATGGTCAAGTCAAAGCTCGCATCTAAATCCCATCCAGGTGTTGTGGGGTGATTTGACACAGGCTGTGCATGCAGGAAACCCCTCAAACATTACACAACTGAAAAAATTCTGCAATGGAGTAGTGGAAAAAATTATTTCTACTTTATCTCTGAGACTGGTAGACAATTGTGGTATAAGAAGTTCTGCTAAAGAAAGCACTGCCCAATATTAAAGCTAAGGTTAAGCTTGTTTTTTTTCACAGAAGGAAATGATGTAACTTTTATTTCTTCATATGACTGTAGCTACATGAATCTGGAAAAAGATATCGCTGCTTTAATTTTTTAAAAACTGCTTTATATGAGCTCACATGAGGATTTGCCCTGCTTTAATAGGCATGCAGTACTTTTAACAGAGAAGAGCAAAACCCAATAGTCCTCTTGACAGACTGCACTGCTATAATATCAATTAGAGTCATCTTTACAAATGATCCACAGTTTTGCATAACATAACCAAGTGGTATCTCTAAAATTTATTACAGTATTTAAAACAACCAAATCAGCATCTCCTTCTCTTCTTCTCTTGCACACACCTTTGTTTGTGTAGGTACCTTGGTCTTTATTTTTGGTGTAGTTTTCTCAATCGTAGGAGCATCACTTGTTGGCAGCAACTTTGGAAGCATTCTAGTGGTCATCACTATTGGGTTTTCTTCTTCCTCTTCTTCTTCATCTCCTAGAGAGTATGAAAAATGAGATGCAAATTTAGTTTTATACAGTTCTTTTTTATTGTTATGTGTGCTTCCCTTAGGACAGTTATAATAAAGTTGTTAAAAACATCATAGTTTTAAGCATTTAGATGTCAAATCCAAGACATTCAGAGATGTATTTTTTCCCCAGAACAATCTGTAAGGTCGCTTATGAAAAAAGGTAGAAATACATTTAGATCTCTGGCAGAATGAAGATTTCAATCCACAACTTTCAGACTCAACTGAAAGTAATCAAAACAAAACAAAAGTTTCATGATCTTAAAAAAAGTTACAAGCAAGTGAACTTAGCTAGTTTTTATAAGCAATAAATTCCAACAAATGGGCATTGACACTAAAAGGTTCTTCTTATGCTGAGTATTTCTACCTATAGATAGCTTGACAACCACTTTCATCTGATGACACAGAAAGGTAGATATGGAAAAAGGCAGATGAGGCATTGCAGTAATTTAAGGAGTTGT